GGTCTCTGTGTATCTCTATGGGTCTCTGTGTATCTCTATGGGTCTCTATGTATCTCTATGGGTCTCTGTGTGTCTCTATGGGTCTCTGTGTATCTCTACAGGTCTCTGTGTATCTCTATGGGTCTCTGTGTATCTCTACAGGTCTCTATGTATCTCTACGGGTCTCTGTGTATCTCTATGGGTCTCTGTGTATCTCTATGGGTCTCTATGTATCTCTATGGGTCTCTGTGTGTCTCTATGGGTCTCTATGTATCTCTACGGGTCTCTGTGTATCTCTATGGGTCTCTGTGTATCTCTATGGGTCTCTGTGTATCTCTACAGGTCTCTATGTATCTTTATGGGTCTCTGTGTATCTCTATGTATCTCTATGGGTCTCTGTGTATCTCTATGGGTCTCTGTGTATCTCTATGTATCTCTATGGGTCTCTGTGTATCTCTATGGGTCTCTGTGTATCTCTATGGGTCTCTGTGTATCTCTATGGGTCTCTGTGTATCTCTATGGGTCTCTGTGTATCTCTATGTATCTCTATGGGTCTCTATGTATCTCGATGGGTCTCTATGTATCTCTATGGGTCTCTGTGTATCTCTATGGGTCTCTGTGTATCTCTATGGGTCTCTGTGTATCTTTATGGGTCTCTGTGTATCTCTACAGGTCTCTATGTATCTCTACAGGTCTCTATGTATCTCTATGGGTCTCTATGTATCTCTATGGGTCTCTGTGAATCTCTATGGGTCTCTATGTATCTGTATGTATCTCTATGGGTCTCTGTGAATCTCTGTGGGTCTCTATGTATCTCTATGTGTCTCTATGTATCTCTATGGGTCTCTGTGTATCTCTATGGGTCTCTGTGTATCTCTATGGGTCTCTGTGAATCTCTATGGGTCTTTATGTATCTCTATGGGTCTCTATGTATCTCTATGGGTCTCTATGTATCTCTATGTATCTCTATGTGTCTCTATGGGTCTCTATGTATCACTATGGGTCTCTGTGAATCTCTATGGGTCTCTATGTATCTCTATGGGTCTCTGTGAATCTCTATGGGTCTCTATGTATCTCTATGTGTCTCTATGTATCTCTATGGGACTCTGTGTATCTCTATGGGTCTCTGTGTATCTCTATGGGTCTCTGTGAATTTCTATGGGTCTCTGTGTATCTCTATGGGTCTCTATGTATCTCTATGGGTCTCTGTGTATCTCTATGGGTCTCTGTGTATCTCTACGGGTCTCTATGGGTCTCTATGGGTCTCTGTGTATCTCTATGGGTCTCTGTGTATCTCTATGGGTCTCTGTGTATCTCTACAGGTCTCTATGTATCTCTACGGGTCTCTGTGTATCTCTATGGGTCTCTGTGTATCTCTATGGGTCTCTATGTATCTCTATGGGTCTCTGTGTATCTCTACAGGTCTCTATGTATCTCTACGGGTCTCTGTGTATCTCTATGGGTCTCTGTGTATCTCTATGGGTCTCTGTGTATCTTTATGGGTCTCTGTGTATCTCTATGGGTCTCTGTGTATCTCTATGGGTCTCTGTGTATCTTTATGGGTCTCTGTGTATCTCTACAGGTCTCTATGTATCTCTACAGGTCTCTATGTATCTCTATGGGTCTCTATGTATCTCTATGGGTCTCTGTGAATCTCTATGGGTCTCTATGTATCTGTATGTATCTCTATGGGTCTCTGTGAATCTCTGTGGGTCTCTATGTATCTCTATGTGTCTCTATGTATCTCTATGGGTCTCTGTGTATCTCTATGGGTCTCTGTGTATCTCTATGGGTCTCTGTGAATCTCTATGGGTCTTTATGTATCTCTATGGGTCTCTATGTATCTCTATGGGTCTCTATGTATCTCTATGTATCTCTATGTGTCTCTATGGGTCTCTATGTATCACTATGGGTCTCTGTGAATCTCTATGGGTCTCTATGTATCTCTATGGGTCTCTGTGAATCTCTATGGGTCTCTATGTATCTCTATGTGTCTCTATGTATCTCTATGGGACTCTGTGTATCTCTATGGGTCTCTGTGTATCTCTATGGGTCTCTGTGAATTTCTATGGGTCTCTGTGTATCTCTATGGGTCTCTATGTATCTCTATGGGTCTCTGTGTATCTCTATGGGTCTCTGTGTATCTCTACGGGTCTCTATGGGTCTCTATGGGTCTCTGTGTATCTCTATGGGTCTCTGTGTATCTCTATGGGTCTCTGTGTATCTCTACAGGTCTCTATGTATCTCTACGGGTCTCTGTGTATCTCTATGGGTCTCTGTGTATCTCTATGGGTCTCTATGTATCTCTATGGGTCTCTGTGTATCTCTACAGGTCTCTATGTATCTCTACGGGTCTCTGTGTATCTCTATGGGTCTCTGTGTATCTCTATGGGTCTCTATGTATCTCTATGGGTCTCTGTGTGTCTCTATGGGTCTCTATGTATCTCTACGGGTCTCTGTGTATCTCTATGGGTTTCTGTGTATCTCTATGGGTCGCTGTGTATCTCTACAGGTCTCTATGTATCTCTATGGGTCTCTGTGTATCTCTATGTATCTCTATGGGTCTCTGTGTATCTCTATGGGTCTCTGTGTATCTCTATGTATCTCTATGGGTCTCTGTGTATCTCTATGGGTCTCTGTGTATCTCTATGGGTCTCTGTGTATCTCTATGGGTCTCTGTGTATCTCTATGGGTCTCTGTGTATCTCTATGTATCTCTATGGGTCTCTATGTATCTCGATGGGTCTCTATGTATCTCTATGGGTCTCTGTGTATCTCTATGGGTCTCTGTGTATCTCTATGGGTATCTGTGTATCTTTATGGGTATCTGTGTATCTCTACAGGTCTCTATGTATCTCTACAGGTCTCTATGTATCTCTATGGGTCTCTATGTATCTCTATGGGTCTCTGTGAATCTCTATGGGTCTCTATGTATCTGTATGTATCTCTATGGGTCTCTGTGAATCTCTGTGGGTCTCTATGTATCTCTATGTGTTTCTATGTATCTCTATGGGTCTCTGTGTATCTCTATGGGTCTCTGTGTATCTCTATGGGTCTCTGTGAATCTCTATGGGTCTTTATGTATCTCTATGGGTCTCTATGTATCTCTATGGGTCTCTATGTATCTCTATGTATCTCTATGCGTCTCTATGGGTCTCTATGTATCTCTATGGGTCTCTGTGAATCTCTATGGGTCTCTATGTATCTCTATGGGTCTCTGTGAATCTCTATGGGTCTCTATGTATCTCTATGTGTCTCTATGTATCTCTATGGGTCTCTGTGTATCTCTATGGGTCTCTGTGTATCTCTATGGGTCTCTGTGAATTTCTATGGGTCTCTGTGTATCTCTATGGGTCTCTATGTATCTCTATGGGTCTCTATGTATCTCTACAGGTCTCTATGTATCTTTTTGGGTCTCTGTGTATCTCTATGTAAATCTATGGGTCTCTGTGAATCTCTATGGGTCTCTATGTATCTCTACAGGTCTCTATGTATCTTTATGGGTCTCTGTGTATCTCTATGTAAATCTATGGGTCTCTGTGAATCTCTATGGGTCTCTATGTATCTCTATGGGTCTCTATGTATCTTTATGGGTCTCTGTGTATCTCTATGTAAATCTATGGGTCTCTATGTATCTCTACGGGTCTCTATGTATCACTATGGGTCTCTATGTATCTTTATGGGTCTCTGTGTATCTCTATGTAAATCTATGGGTCTCTATGTATCTCTACGGGTCTCTATGTATCACTATGGGTCTCTATGTATCTCTAGAACCAGTGGCATCTACAGAACGTGAAGAACCAGTGGCATCTACAGTACATGAAGAACCAGTGGCATCTACAGTACATGAAGAACCAGTGGCATCTACAGAACGTGAAGAACCAGTGGCATCTACATCTGTAGAACGTGAAGAACCAGTGACATCTACAGTACATGAAGAACCAGTGGCATCTACAGAACGTGAAGAACCAGTGGCATCTACTGACAGAGGTGGGACAAAGTCATTGTTATGCAAGTCCAAGTCGAGTCTCAAGTCATTAAATTCATGACTCGAGTCTGACTCGAGTCCAAGTCACATGACTCGAGTCCACACCTCAGAGGTGGGACAAAGTCATTGTTATGCAAGTCCAAGTCGAGTCTCAAGTCATCAAATTCATGACTCGAGTCTGACTCGAGTCCAAGTCACATGACTCGAGTCCACACCTCAGAGGTGGGACAAAGTCATTGTTATGCAAGTCCAAGTCGAGTCTCAAGTCATCAAATTCATGACTCGAGTCTGACTCGAGTCCAAGTCACATGACTCGAGTCCACACCTCAGAGGTGGGACAAAGTCATTGTTATGCAAGTCCAAGTCGAGTCTCAAGTCATCAAATTCATGACTCGAGTCTGACTCGAGTCCAAGTCACATGACTCGAGTCCACACCTCTGCATCTACATCTGTAGAACGTGAAGAACCAGTGGCATCTACAGTACATGAAGAACCAGTGGCATCTACAGAACGTGAAGAACCAGTGGCATCTACATCTGTAGAACGTGAAGAACCAGTGACATCTACAGTACATGAAGAACCAGTGGCATCTACAGAACGTGAAGAACCAGTGGCATCTACATCTGTAGAACATTCCACATCTGTAGAACATGAATAACCAGTGGCATCTACATCTGCAGAACTTGAATAACCAGTGGCATCTACATCTACAGAACGTGAATAACCAGTGGCATCTACATCTACAGGAGGTTATACAACTTTAAAATCCATTCCTCGTGTTTTAACAACTTACGAACACCTCGACTTACGAACACAAACATCCACGTTCGTAAGTCGAGGACACAAAGACAATAAATAAATAACTGCCCCCCCCCCCCCAAGAGATTGCCCCCCCCCCCCATTCTCTATCCGCTGCGAACGTTCTGGACGGGTGACGTCATCGGCCCCTCCCCCCTCACCCGCGTGGCCCCGCCCCCTCGTCGTGACGTCACGGGGCAGGGCGTGGCGCCGACTATAAAAGGAATTTCGCCGCCGCATTGGAAGCAAATTGCGGAGTGTGTTTGTAAATTTCTCTGTCTAAGTACTCGTCCGTCTTTGTTTCTCTTTATTCTCCCGGCCGCCTTTGTCTCTCTAAAGCGATGTCGGCACAACACCAATGCCTCATGCCTTTGGAAGCGAACCCCGAGGTGAGAGAGAGCGAGAGAGAGATGAGTGTTGGTGGTGGTGAGCTTGACATTGTTGCGTGTGTGACAATGTAAATTGATTAGTCGTTTGTAATCGCATTAAAAGCTGTCGTCGGGCGAGTTAGAATAAGGTGTAAACTGCTGTAACGATGTTAATGATTTATATCGGGATAATTTGGCGCGAAAATTGCGATATTTTTACCTCAGAAAGCTTAATTGCAATGTTATAATGCATCATATTGTCATTAATTGTATTAATAATTATTTTAGCGGGGTTAAAATAAGATGTAAACTACATTAACAATGTTAATGATTTATATCGTGATAATTCGGAGCTAAAATTGCGGTATTTTTACCTCAGAAACCTTAATTGCAATGTGGCAATGCGTTCTATTGTGTTAATTACATTAAGAATTATTTTATTCGAGTTAAAATAAGGTGTAAACTACATTAACAATATTAATGATTTATATCGTGTTAATTTGGCGCTAAAATTGCGGTATTTTTACCTCAGAAACCGTAATTGCAATGTTATAACGCATCATATTGTCATTAATTGTTTTAATAATTATTTCAGCGGAGTTAAAATAATGTGTAAACTACATTAACAATGTTAATGATTTATATCGTAATAATTTGGCGCGAAAGTTGTGATTTTTTTACCTCATAAACCCTCATTGCAATGTTATGCATCATAGTGTCATTAATTTCATTAATTATTTTATTCGAGTTAAAATAAGGTGTAAACTACATTAACAATGCAAATTATCTATATCGTGATAATTTGGCGCTAAAATTGCGATTTTTTTACCTCATAAACCTTAATTGCAATGTTATAACGCATCATATTGTCATTAATCGCATTAAAACTCACTTCAGTCGAGTTAAAATAAGGTGTAAACTACTGTAACAATGTTAAATCTTTATATTACAATAATATGCCAATAAAATAGCGATATTTTTTACCTCATAAACCTAAATTGCAATGTTTTAATTCATTATAATGTCTTTAATTGCATCAAAATAATTACTAAGCCGCGTTAAAACAAGATAAACTACGATAACGATGTTAATCTTTAATACCGTGATTATGTGGCGATACAATTGCAATACTTTTTACACTTTTAATTGAAATGTTTAAATGCGTTACATTGTGTTAATTGCAATTAAAGTTAAAACTATTATAACTCTAACGCTTTAGACCCTAACAAGGCGTAATGATGACATTTATTGTGCAAATGTTAAATCTTAAGACGATACTTTACAATCTATAACTAATTATGTTAATTATGGGGGGCTAATGACAATGTTATAAGGTAATCATTACTAACATGACATTATATAAATTAGCTAATCATAATGACTAATGTTATATTCCATTTAAATAAGGTAATCATTATAATTACTGTTATATTACATTTAAATAAGCTAATCGTCATAATTACTAATGTTATATTCCATTTAAATAAGCTAATCATTCTAATTGCTAATGTTATATGCCGTTAATATTAATAAGATATTTATTACGGCTAATGTTGCATGCCATTAATAGAAATAAACTTATTCTTGGTTCTTTCGGTCACGTAGAAGGGAAATAATAAAATAATAAATAAATATGAATCTCTGCAGTCACGAAAGATTTAAATAAAAAATAAGCTTAATTATTAAAATTAGTAATGCTACATGCCATTATATAAATAAGCTAATCATTATATTGACTAATGTTATAACCCATTAATGTGAATAAGCTAATTATTATAATTAAAAGTACGGGGGTGGGGTGAAAATACCACAACTTTTAAATGTTAACATTTTATTTTGACTTCATCATCATCGTTTATAAAAGGAGATTTTAAAAGTTGTAATACATTTTGTAAAAAAAAAAAATTGGAATGGAGGGGAGAGAATTGGTAGCTCGGATAGGCGAGCAATGCCCCGGTCAGAGTGGAATTGGTAGAGCGGATAAGGGCCGCAGTTTGATTTGCGCCGCTTAACTAATTGTGTTGTGTGTGTGTGTGTACACGTGTGTGTGTGTGCGTACACGTGTGTGTGTGTGTGTACACGTGTGTGTGTGTGTACACGTGTGTGTGTGTACGTGTGTGTGTGTACACGTGTGTGTGTACACGTGTGTACGTGTGTGTGTGTACACGTGTGTGTGTGCGCGTGTGTGTGTGTACACGTGTGTGTGTGTGTACACGTGTGTGTGTGTGTGTACGTGTGTGTGTGTGTACACGTGTGTGTGTGTGTACACGTGTGTGTGTGTGTGTGTACAGGTGGTGAATCAGGTGAGTGGTCATTGCGGGTAACCTGGTGGGTGTGATCACTGCGGGTAACCTGGTGGGTGTGCTCAGTGCGGGTAACCTGGTGGGTGTGCTCAGTGCGGGTAACCTGGTGGGTGTGTTCAGTGCGGGTAACCTGGTGGGTGTGCTCAGTGCGGGTAACCTGGTGGGTGTGGTCATTGCGGGTAACCTGGTGGGTGTGGTCACTGCGGGTAACCTGGTGGGTGTGCTCAGTGCGGGTAACCTGGTGGGTGTGTTCATTGCGGGTAACCTGGTGGGTGTGTTCAGTGCGGGTAACCTGGTGGGTGTGCTCAGTGCGGGTAACCTGGTGGGTGTGTTCAGTGCGGGTAACCTGGTGGGTGTGCTCAGTGCGGGTAACCTGGTGGGTGTGGTCATTGCGGGTAACCTGGTGGGTGTGGTCACTGCGGGTAACCTGGTGGGTGTGCTCAGTGCGGGTAACCTGGTGGGTGTGGTCATTGCGGGTAACCTGGTGGGTGTGGTCACTGCGGGTAACCTGGTGGGTGTGGTCGGTGCGGGTAACCTGGTGGGTGTGGTAACTGCGGGTAACCTGGTGGGTGTGTTCAGTGCGGGTAACCTGGTGGGTGTGCTCAGTGCGGGTAACCTGGTGGGTGTGCTCAGTGCGGGTAACCTGGTGGGTGTGTTCAGTGCGGGTAACCTGGTGGGTGTGCTCAGTGCGGGTAACCTGGTGGGTGTGGTCATTGCGGGTAACCTGGTGGGTGTGGTCACTGCGGGTAACCTGGTGGGTGTGCTCAGTGCGGGTAACCTGGTGGGTGTGGTCATTGCGGGTAACCTGGTGGGTGTGGTCACTGCGGGTAACCTGGTGGGTGTGGTCGGTGCGGGTAACCTGGTGGGTGTGGTAACTGCGGGTAACCTGGTGGGTGTGGTCATTGCGGGTAACCTGGTGGGTGTGGTAACTGCGGGTAACCTGGTGAGTGTGGTCACTGCGGGTAACCTGGTGGGTGTGGTCATTGCGGGTAACCTGGTGGGTGTGGTAACTGCGGGTAACCTGGTGGGTGTGCTCAGTGCGGGTAACCTGGTGGGTGTGGTCATTGGGGTAACCTGCTGGGTGTGGTCACTGCGGGTAACCTGGTGGGTGTGTTCAGTGCGGGTAACCTGGTGGGTGTGGTCACTGCGGGTAACCTGGTGGGTGTGGTAACTGCGGGTAACCTGCTGGGTGTGGTCACTGCGGGTAACCTGGTGGGTGTGTTCAGTGCGGGTAACCTGGTGGGTGTGGTCACTGCGGGTAACCTGGTGGGTGTGGTCGGTGCGGGTAACCTGGTGGGTGTGGTAACTGCGGGTAACCTGGTGGGTGTGGTCATTGCGGGTAACCTGGTGGGTGTGGTAACTGCGGGTAACCTGGTGGGTGTGGTCACTGCGGGTAACCTGGTGGGTGTGGTCATTGCGGGTAACCTGGTGGGTGTGGTAACTGCGGGTAACCTGGTGGGTGTGCTCAGTGCGGGTAACCTGGTGGGTGTGGTCATTGCGGGTAACCTGGTGGGTGTGGTCACTGCGGGTAACCGGGTGGGTGTGGTCATTGCGGGTAACCTGGTGGGTGTGGTCATTGCGGTTACCCTGGTGGGTGTGGTCATTGCGGTTACCCTGGTGGGTGCGGTAATTGCGGTTACCCTGGTGGGTGTAGTTATCATTGCATAGGAAGGGTGGTTATCGCCGAATCGTGGATGTTGATGTTACCAACGAGAGAGAGTGTCTAATGACGGGCCGGGTGTCCGCGCCTGTACCCCAGGGGTAACCTGGTGGGTGCGGTCATTGCGGTTACCCTGGTGGGAGTAGTTATCACTGCATAGGAAGGGTGGTTATTGCCGAATCGTGGATGTTGATGTTACCAACGAGAGAGAGAGTGTCTAATGACGGGCCGGGTGTCCGCGCCTGTACCCCAGGGGTAACCTGGTGGGTGCGGTCATTGCGGTTACCCTGGTGGGAGTAGTTATCACTGCATAGGAAGGGTGGTTATCGCCGAATCGTGGATGTTGATGTTACCAACGAGAGAGAGAGTGTCTAATGACGGGCCGGGTGTCCGCGCCTGTACCCCAGGGGTAACCTGGTGGGTGCGGTCATTGCGGTTACCCTGGTGGGAGTAGTTATCACTGCATAGGAAGGGTGGTTATTGCAGAATCGTGGATGTTGATGTTACCAACGAGAGAGAGAGTGTGTCTAACGACGGGCCGGGTGTCCGCGCCTGTACCCCAGGGGTAACCTGGTGGGTGTGGTCAGTGCGGGTAACCTGGGTGGGTGCGGTTATCACTGCTAAGGAAGGGTGGTTATCGCCGAATCGTGGATGTTGATGTTACCAACGAGAGAGAGAGTGTCTAATGACGGGCCGGGTGTCCGCGCCTGTACCCCAGGGGTAACCTGGTGGGTGTGGTCAGTGCGGGTAACCTGGGTGGGTGCGGTTATCACTGCTAAGGAAGGGTGGTTATTGCCGAATCGTGGATGTTGATGTTACCAACGAGAGAGAGAGTGTCTAATGACGGACCGGGTGTCCGCGCCTGTACCCCAGGGGTAACCTGGTGGGTGCGGTCATTGCGGTTACCCTGGTGGGAGTAGTTATCACTGCATAGGAAGGGTGGTTATCGCCGAATCGTGGATGTTGATGTTACCAACGAGAGAGAGAGTGTCTAATGACGGGCCGGGTGTCCGCGCCTGTACCCCAGGGGTAACCTGGTGGGTGCGGTCATTGCGGTTACCCTGGTGGGAGTAGTTATCACTGCATAGGAAGGGTGGTTATTGCCGAATCGTGGATGTTGATGTTACCAACGAGAGAGAGAGTGTCTAACGACGGACCGGGTGTCCGCGCCTGTACCCCAGGGGTAACCTGGTGGGTGCGGTCATTGCGGTTACCCTGGTGGGAGTAGTTATCACTGCATAGGAAGGGTGGTTATTGCAGAATCGTGGATGTTGATGTTACCAACGAGAGAGAGAGTGTGTCTAACGACGGGCCGGGTGTCCGCGCCTGTACCCCAGGGGTAACCTGGTGGGTGTGGTCAGTGCGGGTAACCTGGGTGGGTGCGGTTATCACTGCTAAGGAAGGGTGGTTATTGCCGAATCGTGGATGTTGATGTTACCAACGAGAGAGAGAGTGTCTAACGACGGACCGGGTGTCCGCGCCTGTACCACCACCACCACCACCACCACCCAACCCGGACCCTGTCAGCTGCTGGCGCTGCTGGGGGTACGGGGTTTGCTGGCCAGGGACTTGCTGGGCTTGGAGGGCACTGACCTGGCGGGGATCCCTCGCCCAGCGCACGCCATCATCTTGCTGCTGCCCCGTGCAGCCCACGTGAGTGACCTCTCCTCCTCCCCCCCCCCGCCGGCAGTCTATGTAGACCGTGCGTCTTCTTGGTTCTTTCGGTAAAGTCATCACGTAGAAGGGAAGAAATAAATGAATAAAAATCAAACATGATAAAATGCAATTCTCACGACGTTTCAGCCACAACGCAAGCAGCCGTCCTCAGGTGAAGAACAGGTCTGTCGGAAAGACAGCGTCATTCACATCATTAACATCATCTACATCATCATCTACATCATCATCAACATCATCATCTTCTTTTTTTTCGGATTTACAGCTTTCGTGACTGCAGGGATTCATCTTCTTGGTTCTTTCGGTAAAGTCACCACGTAGAAGGGAAGTAATGTGTTTTATTTTTAAATCCTTTATATTAAGTTTGCTTGCTTGCACGCTTACGACCGTGCAAATCTTTCGGTCGTTTTTTAACCCACTTCCCGTGATCCAATCGAGCTGACATTTTGCACACAGACTCGTTGTGCGTGACAATTGATTTTCGTGAAAATTTTTTTTCCAAAATTTTACACTGTTTAGGGAAAACAAATTAAATATTTAATTACCAATTCTTTAATACTGCAGACAATCATCTGACCCATAGGTGGCAGCCATCTCAAGCCAGAGGACGAGAGGACTCTAGCCGCCACGCATATAAAGGATTTATAGTGAAAAACGTTGTTTTTACGGGTTAATTTTTTATTATTTTATTACTTCCCTTCTACGTGACTTTACCGAAAGAACCAAGAAGATGAATCCCTGCAGTCACGAAAGCTTTAAATCGAAAAATAGACTGTGCGCGTGTTTGTGTACAGCTGGGGGGAGCGGTAGTGTAGCGGTTACACTATGAGACCTCCTTTACCAGTGGCAAAATATAGTAGCAATAGGTTTTTACCGTATTCTTAGGTTTTTTCGGTAAAGTCACGTAGGTAAAAAATTCAAATTAATAAAAGTAAAAAAATGAAATAAAAAAATCACGACGTTTCGGAGGCAGCACAGGCTTCCGTCTTTTTTAAAAATAATTTTTATTTTCTACCTACGTGACTTTACCGAAAAAACCTAAGAATATGAATCCTTGCAGTCACGAAAGCTTCAAATCTCGAATTAGGTTTTTACCCTTTAAACTGGTACAAAACTGACACCTTTATACAAGGCGTCATGTTTGCAATAACCACAACACAAGCAGTCAAAATGCTAAAAAACCTCTGATAATGGTAATGATATGGACCGATCAACTTCAAGGACAGTGCATATCATTATCAGAATTTTTTTTTGCATTTAGACTGCTTGTGTTGTGGTTATTGCAAACATGATGCCTTGTATAAAGGTGTCAGTTTTGTACCAGTTTAAAGGGTAAAAACCTACTACTATAGTGTAGTGGTTAGCGCTACGAACCCGGCGACACGAGTTCGATTCCCGCTCACGGCCAACACCAGTGACGATTATCTGAACCGGTCCCGGGCCTCCCCTGGGTCGACTCAGCCTCAAATGAGTACCTGGTGAGGTTGTGTAAACATCGCCACTGGGGAGACAAAGGCGGTCGGGCGTGGTGCTGGCCACCCACCGCCTCGTGTGCCGTTCCGGCCTTCATAGGTGCTACTCGCTAACAGCACTTGCCCCTACAGTCTGTTACAGGCGGTACGGGGTGGTCTTTGTTTTGGCGGTCTATATAGACTGTACGTTTGTGAGTGTACTGGCAGTCTATATAGACTGTACGCGTGTGAGTGTACTGGCGGTCTATATAGACTACGCGTGTGAGTGTACTGGCAGTCTATATAGACTGTACGTGTGTGTGTGTGTGTACTGGCAGTCTATATAGACTGTACGTGTGTGTGTGTACTGGGGTGGCTAAAGCACAGCAAGTTGGCACAGTAGGGGGCACAGTGGTGCATCAGCCAGTCATCTCGGTCAGTCGACCCGTGGCACCTGCTGGGTCTGCCCCGTGACCTCCTGCCAGCGGGCGTTCGACACTTCACGTGGCCTCAAGGTGCACATGGCCTGGCACAAGCGTCGTGGTGACGTCACCGCCACTTAGTGGCGAATGGCGGTTGTTGTTATTGTACTGGGGCGCGGTAGTGTAGTGGTTCGTGCACTGCACCCCGAAACCCGGCGACCCGAGTTGGCCTCCTCCCCTAGGTCGGCTCAGCCTCAAACGCGTAGCTGGTGCGGCGTGTGGTAACACCGCCACTGGGGAGAGACAAAGGCGGCCGTGCGGGCCTGGTGCCGCTGTGGCTCTCATTACATCACTTGCACCCGCCCCCCCCCCCCCCCTGTGTGGGCTACACGGGGGACATTTGTCTTTGTGCAGGACTCTGGAGAGGGGCAGAAGGGGGCGGCCGCCCCCGGTGACGTGTACCATGTGACCCAGCCGGCCCAGACGCTGTGCGGCATTCTGGGTATCGTGCACGCCCTGGCCAACATCCCCCGCGCTGCACTGCGATTGGGTAATGCCGCGTCACGTGACCTGGGTTGTTGATGATGGTCGTGGTGTTGATGCTCTTAGTTCTTTCGGTAAAGTCACGTGGGTAAAAAAATAAATAAAAATCAATAACAGTTTCACCTGAAGACGGAAGCTTGTTGCCTCCGAAACGTCGTGATTTTGTAGTTTTTATTTTTTATTAATTTCATTTTTTACCTACGTGACTTTACCGAAAGAACTAAGCGTATGAATCCTTGCAGTCACGAAAGCTTCAAATCGTGGTGTTGATGTTGATGATGTTGTTGATGGTGGTGGTGGTGATGTGGGTGATGGTGGGTGATGGTGGGTGATGGTGGGTGATGGTGGTTGATGTGGGTGGTGGTGATGGTGGTTGATGTTGGTGGTGGTGATGGTGGTTGATGTGGTGGTGGTGGTGATGGTGGTTGATGTGATGGTGGTGATGATGGTTGATGATGGTGGTGATGGTGGTTGATGATGGTAGCAAACCGTGATATTAAAATAAAATACTTTATCACTCTGCTATTATAGAAGCGACCTGCCCATCGCAAATGATCGCTCATCGTCATCGTCTTGTGCAGATTTATAGCGGGATACAAATACTCTGAACGCTGGACGTTGATTCTAAATGTGGAGGGGAAAAGCCGGAGGACCCCGAGGAAAATCGACGCGACTACAGGGAGACAGAGAGACTCAGACTCCAAATGTACAGCAAGCATCAGGGTCGGGATCGAACCCACGACCTCCTGTGTACCAGACGAGGTAGTTAAAATCTCCTAGCCACCGTGATGATGATGAGAGAGAGACTCAGACTCCAAATGTACAGCAGCAAACATTGTCAGGGTCGGGATCGAACTCACGACCTCCTGTATGTATACCAGTCGAGGTAGTCAACATCTCCTCGCCACCGCGATGATGATGAGAGAGAGACTCAAGACTCCAAATGTACAGCAGCAGGCATCGTCAGGGTAGGGATCGAACTCACGACCTCCTGTATACCAGGCGAGGTAGTCAACATCTCTCAGTGTCTGGGATTGAACCCACGACTTCCTGTGTACCAGGCGAGGTAGTCAACATCTCTCAGGGTCTGGGATCGAACCCACAACCTCCTGTGTACCAGACAAGGTAGTCAACATCTCTCAGGGTCTGGGATCGAACCCACGACCCCTCATGTGTACCAGGCGAGGTAGTCAACATCTCTCAGGGTCTAGGATTGAACCCATGACCTCCTGTATACCAGGCGAGGTAGTCAACATTTCTCAGGGTCTGGGATCGAACCCACGACCTCCTGTATACTAGGCGAGGTAGTCAACATTTCTCAGGGTCTGGGATCAAACCCACGACCTCCTGTATACTAGGCGAGGTAGTCAACATCTCTCAGGGTCTGGGATCGAACCCACGACCTCCTGTGCACCAGGCGAGGTAGTCAACATCTCTCAGGGTCTGGGATCGAACCCACGACCTCCTGTATACCAGGCGAGGTAGTTAACATCTAGCCACCGTGATGATGATGATGATGAGAGAGAGATGCAGACTCCAAATATACAGCAAATGTCGTCAGGGTAGGGATCGAACCCACGACCTCCTGTATACCAGGCGAGGTAGTCACCGATGACTGGTACCAGCGGTGTCAAGATCGTCCTCTGTGGAGGAGGCTCGTGAAGGACGCTCCTGGGCAGTTGGAGGCAGTCGCCCTCCAACAACAACGGAGGGCGGAGGAGCGATGCTCACAACAATGAGTGGAGCGCCGGGTGGCTAAAGCACAGCAAGTTGGTACGGTAGGGGGCACAGGTGGTGCATCAGCCAGTCATCTCGGTCATCTCAGTCAGTCGACCCGTGGCACCTGCTGGGTCTGCCCCGTGACCTCCTGCCAGCGGCGAGCCTTCGACACTTCACGTGGCCTTAAAGTGCACCTAGCTTGGCACAAGTACCCTGATGACATGATTGGTGGTGATGTTGTTGGTGGTGGTGGTGATGGTGGTGGTGGTGATGGTGGTGGCGGTGATGGTGGTGATGGTGGTGGTGGTGGTGGTGGTGATGATGGTGGTGGTGATGTTGGTGGTGGTGGTGATGGTGGTGGCGGTGATGGTGGTGATGGTGGTGGTGGTGGTGATGTTGGTGGTCGTGGTGGTGATGTTGGTGGTGATGATGTTGGTGATGATATTGGTGGTGATGTTGGTGATGATGGTGGTGATGGTGGTGGTGGTGATGTTGTTGGTGATGGTGGTGATGTTGGTGATGATGTTGGTGATGGTGGTGATGTTGGTGATGTTGATGGTGATGGTGATGATGTTGGTGATGTTGGTTGTGATGGTGGTGATGGTGGTGATGTTGTTGTTGGTGGTGGTGATGTTGGTGATGTTGGTGATGATGGTGGTGATGATGGTGGTGGTGATGTTGGTGGTGGTGGTGATGTTGGTGGTGGTGGTGATGTTGGTGGTGGTGATGTTGGTGGTGTTGGTGATGATGGTGGTGATGATGTTGGTGATGTTGGTGATGTTGGTTGTGATGGTGGTGGTGGTGGTGATGGTGGTGATGGTGGTGATGGTGGTGATGGTGGTGATGGTGGTGATGGTGGTGATGTTGGTGGTGGTGATGATGGTGGTGATGATGATGTTGATGGTGATGGTGGTGATGATGTTGGTGGTGGTGATGTTGGTGATGTTGGTGATGGTGGTGGTGGTGATGATGGTGGTGGTGGTGGTGATGTTGGTGGTGGTGATGATGGTGGTGGTGTTGGTGATGTTGGTGATGGTGGTGGTGATGGTGGTGGTGATGATGGTGGTGATGTTGTTGTTGGTGGTGGTGATGTTGGTGGTGATGTTGGTGGTGATGTTGGTGATGATGGTGATGGTGGTGGTGATGTTGGTGGTGGTGATGATGGTGATGTTGGTGATGTTGGTGATGGTGATGGTGGTGGTGATGTTGGTGATGGTGGTGATGTTGGTGGTGGTGATGATGGTGGTGGTGATGATGATGGTGATAATGATGTTGATGGTGATGGTGATGTTGATGATGTTGGTGATGTTGGTGGTGGTGATGATGGTGATGTTGGTGATGTTGGTGATGGTGATGTTGATGGTGGTGGTGATGTTGATGGTGGTGGTGATGATGGTGGTGGTGATGATGGTGATGATGTTGATGATGATGGTGGTGATGTTGGTGATGATGGTGATGGTGGTGATGTTGATGATGTTGTTGGTGGTGGTGATGTTGATGATGTTGATGGTGATGATGGTGATGATGATGTTGGTGATGTTGATGGTGGTGGTGATGTTGGTGGTGTTGATGGTGGTGATGTTGGTGGTGGTGATGATGGTGGTGGTGATGTTGGTGGTGGTGGCTACAGACAGTGACTCCCCATTCAAGAAATTCCTGGAGGAGACGAAGTCTCTGAGCCCCGCGGAACGAGGAGAACGTCTCCATAGTGACAAGGTCACCACCACCATCACCACCACCATCATCACATCAACCACCACCATCATCACCACCATCACATCACCATCAACATCATCACATCAACCACCATCATCACCACCATCACATCAACCACCATCATCACCACCATCACATCAACCACCATCACCACCACCCACATCAACCACCATCACCCACCATCACCCACATCACCACCATCACCCACATCAACAACCACATCAACATCACCACCATCACCCACATCAACATCACCACCATCACCCACATCAACAACCACATCAACATCACCACCATCATCCACATCAACATCACCACCATCACCCACATCAACATCATCACCATCACCCACATCAACAACCACATCAACATCACCATCACCCACATCAACATCACCACCATCACCCACATCAACAACCACATCAACATCACCACCATCACCCACATGAACAACCACATCAACATCACCACCATCACCCACATCAACATCACCACCATCACCCACATGAACATCACCACCATCACCCACATCAACATCACCACCATCACCCACATCAACATCACCACCATCACCCACATGAACAACCACATCAACATCACCACCATCACCCACATGAACAACCACATCAACATCACCACCATCACCCACATGAACAACCACATCAACATCACCACCATCACCCACATCAACATCACCACCATCACCCACATGAACAACCACATCAACATCACCACCATCACCCACGTCAACATCACCACCATCACCCACGTCAACATCACCACCATCACCCACATCAACAACCACATCAACATCACCACCATCACCCACATCAACATCACCACCATCACCCACATGAACAACCACATCAACATCACCACCATCACCCACATCAACATCACCACCATCACCCACATGAACATCACCACCATCACCCGCATCAACAACCACATCAACATCACCACCATCACCCACATCAACATCACCACCATCACCCACATGAACAACCACATCAACATCATCACCATCACCCACATGAACAACCACATCAACATCACCACCATCACCCACATCAACAACCACATCAACATCACCACCATCACCCACATCAACATCACCACCATCACCCACATCAACAACCACGTCAACATCACCACCATCACCCACATCAACATCACCATCACCCACATCAACAACCACGTCAACATCACCACCATCACCCACATCAACATCACCATCATCACCCACATCAACATCACCATCATCACCCACATCAACATCACCACCATCATTCACATCAACATCACCACCATCACCCACATCAACAACCACGTCAACATCACCACCATCACCCACATCAACATCACCACCATCACCCACATCAACCACATCAACATCACCACCATCACCCACATCAACATCCACATCAACATCACCACCATCACCCACATCAACATCACCATCACCCACATCAATCATCACATCAACATCACCACCATCACCCACATCAATCATCACATCAACATCACCACCATCACCCACATCAACAACCACATCAACATCACCACCATCACCCACATCAACAACCACATCAACATCACCACCATCACCCACATCAACAACCACATCAACATCACCACCATCACCCACATCAACGTCACCGCCAGTTATTGGCGAATGCCGGTTATTGTATATCTCTTATCTGCTCATGTGTGCATGTGTGTGTGTTTTCTGTCTGTGTGTGTGTCCTATATGTGTGTGTGTTTGCGTGTGTGTGTGTCTGTCTGTGTGTGTGTGTGTTTTCTGTCTGTCTGTTTTTTGTGTCTGTATTGTCTGTGTGTCTGTTTGTGTGTGTGTGTGTCTGTCTGTGTGCGCATGTCTGTTGCATGCTCGTGTGTGTGTATCTGTGTGTGTGTGTGCGTGTCTTGTATGTGCGTGTCTTGTGTGTCTGCGTGTGTGTGTTTTCTGTGTTTGTGTGTGTGTCTGTGTGTGCGCGTGTCTGTGTGTGTGTTTGTGTGTGTGTTTTGCGTGTGTGTGTTTTGTGTGTGTTTGTGTGTTTGTGTGTGTGTTTGTGTGTTTTGTGTGTGTGTGCGTGTGCAGGCCATTTCTAAGGCGCACTTGGCTTGCGCTAATCAAGGCCAGTCCCAGGTAGGGCTCAAACCTCCCCCCTGTGTGTCCGTCACACAAACATAACAGAGGTCCCCCGTATAGCCTCTTAGTGCTCGGGGCAAGTGCTGTTCGTGGCGAGTGGGGCGTTGTGAAGGCTACCGGCACTGCAGCGCACGAGGGGGGTGGGTGGCCAGCACCACGCCCGGCCGCCTTTGTCTCCCCAGTGGCGATGTTTACACACCGCTACACCAGGTACTCATTTAAGGCTGAGTGGACCTAGGGGCAAGCCATGGAAGCAGTTCAAATGATCGTCGCTGGTGTTGGTGGTGAGCGTGAGCAGGAATCGGGTCGCCGGGTTCGTAGCGCAGCGTAGCCCTCGCGGCTACACTGCCACTACGCTGACACACACGCTGACACGCGCGCTGGCACGCACGCTGACACACGCGCTGGCACGCATGTACGCTGTCACGCACGCTGACACATACGCTGACACACGCTGACACGCATGTACGCTGACACGCACGCTGACACACGCTGGCACGCACATACGCTGACACGCTGACACACGCACACACGCACGCTGACACGCACGCTGACGCTGACGCACGCTGACACACGCACGCTGACACACGCACGCTGACACGCACACACGCACGCTGACACACGCACGCTGACGCACGCTGACACACGCACGCTGACACTTGCACGCTGACACACACGCACGCTGACACGCACACACGCACGCTGACACACGCACGCTGACACACGCACGCTGACACACACTGACACACACGCACGCTGACGCACGCTGACACACGCACACACGCACGCTGACACGCACGCTGACACACTGACACGCACACTGACACGCATGCTGACACGTGTGACACGCTGACACACGCACGCTGACACACGCACGCTGACACGCACGCTGACACACGCTGACACGCACGCTGACAGGCACGCTGACAGGCATGCTGACACGCACGCTGACACACGTGTGACACGCTGACACACGCACGCTGACACACATGCTGACACACACACACGCTGACACACGCTGACAGGCACACTGACACACGCTGACAGGCACGCTGACACTGACACACGCTGACACACGCTGACACGCTGACAGGCACGCTGACACACACTGACACACGCTGACACACGCTGACAGGCACGCTGACACACACTGACACACGCTGACACACGCTGACACACGCACGCTGACACACGTACGCTGACAGGCACGCTGACACTGACACACGCTGACACACGCTGACACACGCTGACACACGCACGCTGACAGGCACGCTGACACTGACACACGCTGACACGCTGACAGGCACGCTGACAGGCACGCTGACACACGCTGAGACACACGCACGGTGACACACATGCTGTTGAGAACCACGATAGAGACGCAATATCGAGGCGAGGATGTATAGAAACGAGGATATTTATATTTGGATTTAAAGCTTCTTTCGTTACTGCAGGGATTCATATTCTTGGTTCTTTCGGTAAAGTCATCACGTAGAAGGGAAATAAAAAAATAATAAAAATACAAAATAAAATTATCTCGACATTTCGACTGCAACACAAGCAATCATCATCAGGTGTGAAAACCACAGCAAGGAAATTTGAAAAAAATTTACCCGTAAAAATCAAGTTTTTCATTATAAATCCTTTATATGCGTGGCGGCTAGAGTCCTCTCGTCCTCTGGCTTGAGATGGCTGCCACCTATGGGTCAGATGATTGCCTGCCACCATTAAGCAATTGGTAATTAAATATTTAATTTGTTTTTTCCTAAAATGTTGAAATTTTTGAAAAATGATTTCACGAAAATTAATTGTCTCGCACAACGAGTCTGTGTGCAAAATGTCAGCTCGATTGGATCACGGGAAGTGGGTTAAAAAACGACCGAAAGATTTGCACGGTCCTAAGCAAGCACGCGAACTTAATATAAAGGATTTAAAAATGGCGTTTTGTGTTTTGACGTCAGCACCACGGACAAAGACTTGGCAGTCAACTCTAGATTTGAAGCTTTCGTGACTGCAAGGATTCATATTCTTTGTCGGTTTTTTTCGGTAAAGTCACCACGGAGGTAAAAAAAATCAAATAAATGAAAACAACTTCTTGGTTCTTTCGGTAAAGTCACCACGTAGAAGGGAAGTAATAAAATAATAAAAATAAAAGATAATAAAATACAATTCTCACGACGTTTCGGCCACAACGCAAGCAGCCGTCTTCAGGTGAAGAACAGGTCTGTCGGAAAGACAACGTCTGACACATCATCAACATCATCAACATCATCAACATCATCATCTTTTTTTTTTTAGGATTTAAAGCTTCTTTAGTGACTGCAGGGATTCATCTTCTTGGTTCTTTCGGTAAAGTCACATAGAAGGGAAATAATATTATTAAAGTCACGTAGAAGGGAAATAATATTATTAATATTATTTCCCTTCTACGTGACTTTACCGAAAGAACCAAGAAGAACTGCCATGTCGCTGTCCCGTGATGTTAACGTTAAAAAAAAGCCACTTTTTAAAAATGTTCTTGCTGTGGGTTTCACGCCCGATGTCGATTGCTGCTTGCGCTGCAGTCGAAACGTGGTGAGCATTTTATTGTTTTGTGTTTTTATTATTTTATTGTTTCCCTTCTACGTGGTGACTTTACCGAAAGAACCAAGAATATGATTTATATAGAGACGAGGTCTCCTGTGACGTGGCCGACCCCGTGACCCTGGCCGACCCCGTGACCCTGGCCGACCCCGTGACCCTGGCTGACCCCGTGACCCTGGCTGACACCGTGACCCTGGCCGACCCTGGCTGATCCCGTGACCCTGGCCAACCCTGTGACCCTGGCTGACACGGTGACCCTGGCTGACCCTGTGACCCCAGGTGCCAGGCGAGCCGTCGAGCGTCGATCTGCATTACGTGGCGCTGGTGTGCGTGGGAGGCGGCCTGTACGAACTCGGTGAGGGAGAGGGGGTGACCTGCATCGTCGCTGAAACATCGTCACCACCATCACCACCATCACCACCATCGTCCCCACCGCCATCGTCACTAGCCGCCATCATCGCCGCAACATCGTCACCGCCATCACCACCATCGTCCCCACCATCGTCCCCACCATCATCACCGCCATCGTCGCCGCTGCCATAGTCACCACCATTGTCGCTACAACATCGTCGCCACCATCGCTACAACATCGTCACCACCAACGTCGCTACAAAATAATCACCACCATCGATCGTCACTACAACATCACCACCACCATCGTCACCACCATCATCGCTACAACATCATCACCACCATCGTCACTAGCATTGTTGCTACAACATCGTCACCACCATCATCATCACCACCATCGTCACCACCATCATCGCTACAACATCGTCACCACCATCATCGCTACAACATCACCACCACCACCATCGTCACTAGCATTGTTGCTACAACATCGTCACCACCACCATCGTCACCACCATCATCGCTACAACATCGTCACCACCATCATCGCTACAACATCGTCACCACCATCATCGCTACAACATCGTCACCACCACCATCATCACTAGCATTGTTGCTACAACATCGTCACCACCATCGCTACAACATCGTCACCACCATCGCTACAACATCACAACCACCATCGCTACAACATCACAACCACCATCGCTACAACATCGTCACCACCATCGTCACTAGTATTGTTGCTACAACATCGTCACCACCATCGTCACCACCATCGTCACTAGTATTGTTGCTACAACATCACCACCATCGCTACAACATCGTCACCACCATCGTCACTAGCATTGTTGCTACAACATCGTCACCACCATCGCTACAACATCACAACCACCATCGCTACAACATCGTCACCACCATCGCTACAACATTGTTACCATCATCGTCACTAGCATTGTTGCTACCACATCATCACCATCGTCACCACCATTGTTGCTACAACATCGTCACCAGCATCGTGTGTAGCATACAGTGTAGTGTGTATCGCATCTGAAAGTGCACGATGCGTCGACCGTCTTTGTTCGATGGCTAGAATGCCAATACTATGTAGTTTATACTTTATATAAACTACATAGTAGAAAGCTTTAAATCGAAAACTATGTAGTTTATACTTTTGTTTACGTGGTGGCTTAGTTACTGCAGCTACATACTATTAACATTCCTTTCCTTTATTGATGCTACCCCTCTCCCCTCCCTTTGATGCTGCTAATCCTGCATAATGCACGGGCATAATGACTTTAAACCCCCCACCAAACCTACGCATTTCACAAGTAGTACTAATCGCATATCTGCATTTGCCATAAATATGCTAAATTCCTCTTGATATGCAAATTATATTGTCAAGGCGCCCTTCTCCCCTCCAACCCAGCAGCTTAAATAGTCGCTCCAAGCCTGGTGGTGTTTCATTCAGACTCTGTCTACTCGACAGACCTGCTCTCCACCTGAGGATGGCTGCTTGCGTTGTGGCCGAAACGTCGTGAGAATTGTATTTTACTGGTAGAAACGAAGTGAACCAGCCTACAATAGATGATATCGTCAGTCCGATGTCCGATTAGGTGTAGCAACATCGCCCCCTACTGCAAACACTTGGCAGGACTCTACAAAAACCTTTAGACTCAGTGAGGCTTTCCTGGCTAAACAAGTGTAACATTCCCTTATAATTCCCCGAGATAGCTTTTAATTAAAACATTTAAATTAAAAATTAACTGACAGCGGCCTAAAGCCTACAGCTAGGCCTAAAGCCTAGAACTAGGCCTCAAACTCTCCCTTCGTATCGTACCCCCGCCATTTCATTTTATTATAGCCATTCATTTGTTCGTTCATACCAGCCCACCCCGCAGGGACCTGTTATTGTTTTATTTCTATTATTTTATTATTTCCCTTCTACGTGGTGATTTTACCGAAAGAACCAAGAAGATAGAATGCCAATGTTGTTGATGTTGTTGATGTTGTTGACGTTGTTGACGTTGTTGACGTTGTTGACGTTGTTGACGTTGTTGTTGACGTTTGTAGATGGATGGAAGTCTGCCCCAGTGCACCATGGGCCTTCCAGCGCGGACTCCATTCTAGAGGTGAGGTGGAGATGCGGGGAGATCCTCTTCCCTCCCCTCGTGTCTCACGAGATGTTGACTACCTCGCCTGGTACGCAGGAGGTCGTGGGTTCAATCCCAGACCCTGAGAGATGTTGACTACCTCGCCTGGTCTACAGGAGGTCGTGGGTTCAATCCCAGACCCTGAGAGATGTTGACTACCTCGTCTGGTACACAGGAGGTCGTGGGTTCAATCCCAGACCCTGAGAGATGTTGACTACCTCGCCTGGTCTACAGGAGGTCGTGGGTTCAATCCCAGACCCTGAGAGATGTTGACTACCTCGCCTGGTGTGCAGGAGGTCGTGGGTTCAATCCCGACCTTGACGACGCTGCTGCTGTATATTTGGAGTCTGCGTCTTTCTCATCATTATCATGGTGGCTAGGAGATGTTAACTACCTCGCCTGGTACACAGGAGGTTGTGGGTTCAATCCCGTGTCTCCGCCCGTGTCTCACCGTCCCCGTGTCTCACTGTCCCCGTGTCTCACCGTCCCGTGTCTCACCGTCCCCGTGTCTCACCGTCCCCGTGTCTCACCGTCCCCGTGTCTCACCGTCCCCGTGTCTCACCGTCCCCGTGTCTCACCGTCCCCGTGTCTCACCGTCCCCGTGTCTCACCGTCCCCGTGTCTCACCGTCCCCGTGTCTCACCGTCCCCGTGTCTCACCGTCCCCGTGTCTCACCGTCCCCGTGTCTCACCGTCCCCGTGTCTCACCGTCCCGTGTCTCACCGTCCCGTGTCTCACCGTCCCGTGTCTCACCGTCCCGTGTCTCACCGTCCCGTGTCTCACCGTCCCCGTGTCTCACCGTCCCCGTGTCTCACCGTCCCCGTGTCTCACCGTCCCCGTGTCTCACCGTCCCCGTGTCTCACCGTCCCCGTGTCTCACCGTCCCCGTGTCTCACCGTCCCGTGTCTCACCGTCCCGTGTCTCACCGTCCCGTGTCTCACCGTCCCGTGTCTCACCGTCCCCGTGTCTTCACCGTCCCCGTGTCTCACCGTCCCCGTGTCTCACCGTCGCCGTGTCTCACCGTCCCCGTGTCTCACCGTCCCCGTGTCTCACCGTCCCCGTGTCTCACCGTCCCCGTGTCTCACCGTCCCGTGTCTCACCGTCGCCGTGTCTCACCGTCCCCGTGTCTCACCGTCCCCGTGTCTCACCGTCCCCGTGTCTCACCGTCCCCGTGTCTCACCGTCCCGTGTCTCACCGTCCCGTGTCTCACCGTCCCGTGTCTCACCGTCCCGTGTCTCACCGTCCCCGTGTCTCACCGTCCCCGTGTCTCACCGTCCCCGTGTCTCACCGTCCCCGTGTCTCACCGTCGCCGTGTCTCACCGTCCCCGTGTCTCACCGTCCCCGTGTCTCACCGTCCCCGTGTCTCACCGTCCCCGTGTCTCACCGTCCCCGTGTCTCACCGTCCCCGTGTCTCACCGTCCCCGTGTCTCACCGTCCCCGTGTCTCACCGTCCCGTGTCTCACCGTCCCCGTGTCTCACCGTCCCCGTGTCTCACCGTCCCCGTGTCTCACCGTCCCCGTGTCTCACCGTCCCCGTGTCTCACCGTCCCCGTGTCTCACCGTCCCCGTGTCTCACCGTCCCCGTGTCTCACCGTCCCCGTGTCTCACCGTCCCCGTGTCTCACCGTCCCCGTGTCTCACCGTCCCCGTGTCTCACCGTCCCCGTGTCTCACCGTCCCCGTGTCTCACTGTCCCCGTGTCTCACTGTCCCCGTGTCTCACTGTCCCCCGTGTCTCACTGTCCCCGTGTCTCACTGTCCCCGTGTCTCACTCTCCCCGTGTCTCACCCTCCCCGTGTCTCACTCTCCCCGTGTCCTCACTGTCCCCGTGTCTCACTGTCCCCGTGTCTCACCGTCCCCGTGTCTCACTCTCCCCGTGTCTCACTGTCCCCGTGTCCTCACTGTCCCCGTGTCTCACCGTCCCCGTGTCCCCGTGTGTCCCGTATCTCACTGTCCCCGTGTCTCACTGTCCCCGTGTCTCAGTGTGTCCCGTATCTCACTGTCCCCGTGTCTCACTGTCCCCGTGTCTCACTGTCCCGTGTCTCACTGTCCCGTGTCTCACTCTCCCGTGTCTCACTCTCCCCGTGTCTCACTCTCCCCGTGTCTCACTGTCCCCGTGTCTCACTGTCTCGTGTCTCACTCTCCCCGTGTCTCACTGTCCCGTGTCTCACTGTCCCGTGTCTCACCGTCCCCGTGTCTCACCCTCCCCGTATTTCACCCGTCCCGTGTCTCACTGTCCCGTGTCTCACTGTCCCGTGTCTCACTGTCCCGTGTCTCACTGTCCCGTGTCTCACTGTCCCGTGTCTCACTGTCCCGTGTCTCACTGTCCCGTGTCTCACCGTCCCCGTGTCTCACCGTCCCGTGTCTCACTCTCCCCGTGTCTCACTGTCCCCGTGTCTCACCGTCCCCGTGTCTCACCGTCCCCGTGTCTCACCGTCCCCGTGTCTCACCGTCCCCGTGTCTCACCGTCCCCTGTCTCACCGTCCCCGTGTCTCACCGTCCCCGTGTCTCACCGTCCCCGTGTCTCACCGTCCCGTGTCTCACCGTCCCCGTGTCTCACCGTCCCCGTGTCTCACCGTCCCCGTGTCTCACCGTCCCCGTGTCTCACTGTCCCCGTGTCTGACTGTCCCCGTGTCTCACTGTCCCGTGTCTCACTGTCCCGTGTCTCACCGTCCCCGTGTCTCACTGTCCCCGTGTCTGACTGTCCCCGTGTCTCACCGTCCCCGTGTCTCACCGTCCCCGTGTCTCACCGTCCCGTGTCTCACTCTCCCCGTGTCTCACCGTCCCCGTGTCTCACCGTCCCCGTGTCTCACCGTCCCCGTGTCTCACCGTCCCCGTGTCTCACTCTCCCCGTGTCTCACCGTCCCGTGTCTCACCGTCCCGTGTCTCACCGTCCCGTGTCTCACCGTCCCGTGTCTCACCGTCCCGTGTCTCACCGTCCCGTGTCTCACCGTCCCCGTGTCTCACTCGTCCCGTGTCTCACCGTCCCCGTGTCTCACCGTCCCCGTGTCTCACTGTCCCCGTGTCTCACTGTCCCCGTGTCTCACTGTCCCCGTGTCTCACTGTCCCCGTGTCTCACTGTCCCCGTGTCTCACTCTCCCCGTGTCTCACCGTCCCCGTGTCTCACTCTCCCCGTGTCTCACTCTCCCCGTGTCTCACTGTCCCCGTGTCTCACCGTCCCCGTGTCTCACTCTCCCCGTGTCTCACTGTCCCCGTGTCTCACTGTCCCCGTGTCTCACCGTCCCCGTGTCCCCGTGTGTCCCGTATCTCACTGTCCCCGTGTCTCACTGTCCCCGTGTCTCAGTGTGTCCCGTATCTCACTGTCCCCGTGTCTCACTGTCCCCGTGTCTCACTGTCCCGTGTCTCACTGTCCCGTGTCTCACTCTCCCCGTGTCTCACTCTCCCCGTGTCTCACTGTCCCCGTGTCTCACTGTCTCGTGTCTCACTCTCCCCGTGTCTCACTGTCCCGTGTCTCACTGTCCCGTGTCTCACCGTCCCCGTGTCTCACCCTCCCCGTATTTCACCCGTCCCGTGTCTCACTGTCCCGTGTCTCACTGTCCCGTGTCTCACTGTCCCGTGTCTCACTGTCCCGTGTCTCACTGTCCCGTGTCTCACTGTCCCGTGTCTCACTGTCCCGTGTCTCACTGTCCCGTGTCTCACCGTCCCCGTGTCTCACCGTCCCGTGTCTCACTCTCCCCGTGTCTCACTGTCCCCGTGTCCTCATCACCGTCCCCGTGTCTCACCGTCCCCGTGTCTCACCGTCCCCGTGTCTCACCGTCCCGTGTCTCACCGTCCCCGTGTCTCAACCGTCCCCGTGTCTCAACCGTCCCCGGGTCTCACCGTCCCGTGTCTCACCGTCCCCGTGTCTCACCGTCCCCGTGTCTCACCGTCCCGTGTCTCACCGTCCCCGTGTCTCACTGTCCCCGTGTCTGACTGTCCCGTGTCTCACTGTCCCGTGTCTCACGTCCCGTGTCTCACCGTCCCGTGTCTCACTGTCCCGTGTCTGACTGTCCCCGTGTCCTCACCGTCCCCGTGTCTCACCGTCCCCGTGTCTCACCGTCCCGTGTCTCACTCTCACCCGTGTCTCACCCCGTCCCCGTGTCTCACCGTCCCCGTGTCTCACCGTCCCGTGTCTCACCGTCCCCGTGTCTCACCGTCCCGTGTCTCACTCTCCCCGGGTCTCACCGTCCCGTGTCTCACCGTCCCGTGTCTCACCGTCCGTTCTCACCGTCCCGTGTCTCACCGTCCCGTGTCTCACCGTCCCCGTGTCTCACTGTCCCGTGTCTCATTGTCCCGTGTCTCACTGTCCCGTGTCTCACCGTCCCGTGTCTCACCGTCCCGTGTCTCACCGTCCCGTGTCTCACCGTCCCGTGTCTCACTGTCCCGTGTCTCACCGTCCCGTGTCTCACTGTCCCGTGTCTCACTGTCCCGTGTCTCACTGTCCCGTGTCTCACCGTCCCGTGTCTCACTGTCCCGTGTCTCACCGTCCCGTGTCTCACTGTCCCGTGTCTCATTGTCCCGTGTCTCACCGTCCCGTGTCTCACCGTCCCGTGTCTCACCGTCCCGTGTCTCACCGTCCCGTGTCTCACCGTCCCCGTGTCTCACTGTCCCCGTGTCTCACTGTCCCGTGTCTCACTGTCCCGTGTCTCACTGTCCCGTGTCTCACTGTCCCGTGTCTCACTGTCCCGTGTCTCACTCTCCCGTGTCTCACTCTCCCGTGTGTCACTCTCCCGTGTGTCACTCTCCCCGTGTCTCACTCTCCCCGTGTCTCACTCTCCCCGTGTCTCACTCTCCCCGTGTCTCACTCTCCCCGTGTCTCACTCTCCCCGTGTCTCACTCTCCCCGTGTCCTCACTCTCCCGTGTCTCACTCTCCCGGTGTCTCACCGTCCCCGTGTCTCACTCTCCCCGTGTCTCACTCTCCCGTGTCTCACTGTCCCCGTGTCTCACTCTCCCCGTGTCTCACTCTCCCCGTGTCTCACTCTCCCGTGTC